CTGACGGAGTGGCCAATTTATACATCTTAATTTCAACGTCAAAGAAAACGACCTTTTCCAAACGTTATGACTGTGGCTATAGGACACGAGCCCACAGACAGTTGCCCGTGTCCAACGGGAACAGCGACTTCCCATACCGGGGTGTGTGTTATAAGCCACACGGAAGACACGGTCTTTGACTTAGAGTTGGACGCAGAGTGCAATGTCCATCCTTTTCACAAAGAAAGTGTTTTGAACTATACCTGAAGCACGGCAGCCCGAGCCCCAAACTCGTATTTCGTCAAGAAACTGACAGAAGATAGCAGCCGCGGGACGCAGGGGAGAACTTAGTTTGAAACCTGACCGATCGAGTTAAAAAAATAACGAACTTAGAGGGGCGGAAAGAGGGACGTCCTCAATTCGAAAGCGGCTCAAAGTTCGTATGTGAACCTAACACTGTGTAGCGTATGCGCCGCTTGGAATGCCAAATGCCACTCTGCAAGTCGCGTGCCTTTGTTTTCTGGCACCAATAAAAGGAAATGTGCATGGTTCATGGGCCAGCTATAATCATTAGCTCTCTGCTTACAAAGAATCAGATTTCGCCCATAAGCGCCGGAGACGGCCAAGTCCGCTGCAATAAAGTCACCTTGTCCCCTACTGGGTACGAGAGAGGAGTGAGAAATTGAGATGTTTACTCAGATCTATTGAAATTGGGCGTTTGTTTTGCTTAAAAATGAGGTCGGCGTGCGACCGATTTGACAAGAAAGTCTCATTTCGGTAGGGGGGAGGGGAGACATTTCGTTCGCAATTGGATTAACCACAACTCCGAAGCAAATAGGCCTGCTGTTAAACTTCTCCATGTTGATTTCAATTCATTCAACTAGACAACCCACGCATAATTATTGCAACACAAGGACAGAACTAGATGGGCATGCTGCTGATTAGGAAGTTGGAAACAGAATGAAAAAAGAGATTGTTTTGACAGATCGCTAATCTCAACCCAAGAACACTGTACACGCAATTAGCCTTCCAACCCCACTGCGGAGGCATTGCCTCACTCATTTTCTTTTCTAGAAAAAAAGACCATTATTATGTAAAATACATGTGGGATTTGAGTGTTTTCATGTAACTTTTGTACCCGTTCTGAATGTTAAGGCTATAGATTTGGGCATTTTTCCTGTGTATTTCTAATAGGGGAATCAACGACTAACGTACTTCTAGCAACTTACACTGGCGTGAATAACATTCTTATTATATATACCAAAGACATTTTTGTGCACGTATGTCTCCGTCTGAAGGTGAAGACGCGAGAACGGTTCTTCCTTGTTTTCGTTTTCTGGTTTTCAATTTGTGTGTGAGTTGGTTTTCTCGTGTATCCAGCGCGAGGGCGTCAGTGGCGAATTTCTTCAAAATGAAAACGTTAAAAGAGTAAGGGAGACACGATGGATAGTTTACCGCGGCGATTCGTGCAATTTACGCATGCGCAGGTGTCTCTCATTATGATCAGTTACAATCCCTTCAATCTGAGCTCATAGAAATTGGCCATCACAAGTCATCTCCAACGTCCCGTTGGGCTCGGCTTGAACTTCCAAATTCACAAAAAGACGACGGAAGGGGGACTTCCCTGCTTCTGTTAAAAGTTAAGACATAATATTATAACCTTATATAATGACAACAAGCGATGGAAAGACAAAACACAGAGGTTTTCTGGTGCATTCTGATCCCATTAGATGGTACTTTAAAGGTGGGGACTAGAAATTGGCTTGCCTTCAAATAACAGTCACAATTCACTGCTCTTCTGCGTTGCAATTTTAAATCATTTTTCGGCTGGACCATCTGTTCATTCCTTTATCAAGTGTTCTAAGGTCCATACATTAATTTACAATTACTAACCTTGACCCAAGAGCCCTTTTAGACTGGCTTTTTGGTTTGAAATGACATGTGATCTGTCCAACAGCAATTTCTCCAAGTGCTTGGTCGACTAGTTTATGTTCCTAAAGATAACACTGTCTCCCTCGAAAGCGATCGGGGAGCTCAATGAGAGTTATTCAAAACTTAATACAATTTCTTTAAATGAGTTTTGACCAAAAACTGTTGTTACATCGAACGGATCAGATATAACATGCCCCAAACAGGTCTTTGCTTTCAGGAGTCGTGCCGGATCAATCTTGTTCACGGCAGTGCGTACCGGATCTCTAGCCTATTGGCAAGGACTTGGAGCAACGCCTAGTGTCGTTTATCACAAACTTCAACACTTTTTAAGTTCTGTAATTAATTCTTTACAAGTTTGTATTGTCACAGCCTATTCTTGAACCTTTGTTTTGCAATGCCAAGGTTGAACATACCTGAATTTTAAAACAGGAAAACTCAATGGCTTGGTTCAAGATCAAAATTCCGTTTAAACCCAAGGAAGGGTATGCAGAAATTGATATTAGTAACGTTTAGACACACGCTGTTTGAATGAGATATTATTTGAACTTTAAAGCATCGTGTACACCGATAAACTATCCACTTTTCATTACAGTAAACTACTCAAAGAATGATGTATTGGTCGAAATAAATGTTACACTGACGCCTGTCCCATTTTGATAACGTCTTGAACGGAGGTGTTGGCTGGGCGTCGAAATGCAGCGTCGTTTTAACCGCACAGACGAAGGCTCTAGATTTACTCGTGTGCGTCGAACATTCCTCGTCTATCAACACTTGCTTTAATTTTGTCATCGAGCTGTATGGAAAATGAGAGTCTCACTTCAAACCAAGCAAGACGTTCAATGACAACGTCATAAAAAGAGAGACGAACCAACCCGATTCACTGCAGCGACGCGATACCCTCGCAGCCTCGCAGCGTGTCAATTTCGCAAATTAGATTTTCCGCGGGAAGACACAGGCACTCTTCCCCTCATCGGAACGTGCCAAAATGAAATTACCGCCGAAAACTCGCGTAGTAACCGGACGACAATGTATTAGGCGACTGCTCTTTCAATATCGATACGGGGTCACGGGGTCAGCGGAACAGTAGTTGGGGGCAAGATGGTGCATCATAAGAAACTGCGAGTGCCTTTATGGTGACTTGCGGGGTATTTGAACGATGGGAAGTACCCGAAAAGGAACATTTGTTGTCCTTGTGGGGTACGTAAACGGTACCCCACAAGAATTTCACGACAATGATATTTGGAATTTACTCAAAAATGAGGAATTTTCATGCTGTACTTCGCAAACTGAAGTGTTTTAAATCAGGGACGTTCGGTCGGAATTTGAGTCAAGGTGAATGATTAAGGACCAAATTGAAGTAATTAAAAAACTGTGCTTCACACGTAATTTTTTTACTTCATGGGAACAAAGGAAATTCCCAACAAGGATACAAATGTAAGAGTGGGTAGGCATCCACCGCGTTCAGGGGACGGATTCTTTTGTTAGGGAAATTTGAACCAATATATTGGGACATCAGTTTTGGTCCCCACAAAATAGGTGAAAATAATGTCGAGTGTATGTCCCCACAATTGCGGTCCAGGAGAGTGCATGGTCTCATCGGGGGACTCGAGATTCGTTGCTTCCTTTGGATTCGGCGCGATAGCACAGACGACATTATAGTTTACAAATAGAGAAAGCGTGGGACACAGGCAATTCGATGTAAACGATGTTGGCGCCAGAAAATGCGACTGTGAATAACATGCCATGTGCACTGTGTAAAGGAGGAATTCAAATGGGGAGTGTAACGTTACATGCATAGATCAATGGAAAACACGGTTGGATCAACGCTGAGTTGCCCAACTGAGGAACTTAGGCCGACTTATAAACTCTTGGTCTCAAGTGAACTATGATCAAAAATATTTTGCTTGTCTGCTCATAAGTGAAGGGCAAGCGAATCGTCCAGTTCCAGGGAATGGTGTAAGAAAAGACGGTTTGGTAACCCTACGCTGTGGTGAGCTTCTTAATTGGTGGCCTTATGAGGGGAATCTATGCAAACAATGCTCACGATTTCTGTCCTTAAAGATTGTATCAGAAGTCAGTCGGTGTAGATAAGCCGAGTTGAAAGTTTTGTTTACTATATCCGTTGCCAAATTACAGGGCCGATGCCCTCATTAAAGGCCACGGAGATTTGCCCATAGCAAGCACCTCCGCAAAACCGATTGGACCAAGAGTGAAAAATCATGCAGTCGGTTGAAGAACGCGCAAGGACAAGGTTGCGAACAAAAACAAAAATGGGCCGACCTTTAAGCAATAATTAAATGCGTGTAATGACAGAGTTGGGGAAATGTTTGAGATCTCACTAGGAAAAAGCGCCCTCCTTCGTTTCATTTTGACGAATGACTGTTTCGGCTGATAATCCTTGGTACCCTACCGCAGGACTATCCAAGATGGCTCTGACATCGCCCCTCCCCCTCCTGCCAGTCCTCCATCTGGTGTAGCCAACGGGTATAGTGCATTTAATGTGGAAAATCCAGGTTTTATAAGCGAGGAATTATTCCTACCAGTTTGGGCCAGTTTGCAGCGTGTTAGGCCTGCCTAGTGAGGGACTAAAAAACCAAGGTATGGTTGCAAGTTGTCGTAAAAACGGCTCCATCGTTCAAATGAAACTTCCATCGCAGAAAGATGATGATTTTGCCCTTATCTTCTGTAATTAAAATAAATCTGTACCAGAGTACATTATTCTTTTTAAACGTACGCGTGCTATACGCTTCGGGAAAAGTTGCTCCTTAGAGTAGCAAATTTTTTCATCCGACAAATAATCAGCAATGTGCATTTCATATCACAATGTTCATTAAAGAAGGTTTTTTGAAATAGCCGCACAGAGTTGGGATACAACCCACTTGTTTCCCAAGCTCGAAATATGTCCAGCACCCGCACCCTTTCTATGATCCCTAAATCCAATTATCACTTAGTATGTGATATTCATGTAGGTATGTTTGTGAATTATTATATCCAGGATTTTTTAGTGTGCGGGCAATACGATACTGTAAAATTTCCAACGTTTTTGGAAAAAGAAATACCACAAGAACCTTATCGTTCAACGACTGTTCAGTTGAATTCCTTCTAACACTATATTTAATTGGTTTGCAATGTTAATAAATATAGGCACGGTTTCATATACAGGGATAAAATATGAAATCTTAAATATGAAATCAGTTGTTACTTCGGGACTGAATCAAACAGAATGGAAAAAGAAAACAAAAACGGAAAGCCCTTTATGAAATAGCATTGACATTAATGATTAAAATTGCTATTAGTATCACACGTAAAAGACTGATAAACAAACTGGCAATAATGCGCTGGTAACATTGATATATTAATTACATTTGTTTTGAGTAAATCGTATCGATTGCCATCGAAAACAATAATCGAATATTCGATACTGTTATTGCTCTTCGTTGTCAAAATGCAGAAGGCTGCACCCGAGGGATAAATTCGTTGAATCATGAATAATTATAAAGGAAAAGCATTTTGTGTCTAAACACATTAGAGGAAGGAGATAAAATGGATAGGCAAATGTTCGCATGCATCAAACCTCCCGCGTGCTATAACTCTAGCCTAACGAGCGAAATAGAATTGAACAGAGTTTGCATAGAAACGCTTTACAAAATACGTGTACATAATGGGGATCAGTTGAACCAAATTTTTACTTCAATACTTCGGACATCTCACATACGTATCCTAACATCTCACATGCGTATTCAATATTTGTCTTTTCCCATAATCTTGAAATATTTTCTATACATCATTGGTTTTTAATGACTGCACATTTTGAAAGAGCTTATTGTCCAACAGAATCCTAAAAAGAAGATATTATTAAAACCAACCATATATTTAATAAAAAAACATATTGCATGCATAAGGGATTGACTAACTCTGAAACGCAACGGGATTTAGAATATTCAGGGCTGTGCTGCCTGTTCATTATCAAGCATGAGATATCACGTTTAATTGTTCGCACGGTATACCTGTGCGTGTACCTTAAAACTTTTTCGCAATACGGAGCTGAAGTTAACGCGTCCTCATTTTCTGCACAGAATTTAAGGGCTTCCCAAGCTTGCCTCCTGACATCGAGGGTGAGCATGTAAATCAGGCGTTGGAAACTATGCCACTCAACCTGGTCCTATAAACTGACCAAATCACACCCCGGGCAGACGGAGAGAAAACGGTGCAAACCCGAGGCGCCCCCCTTGAAAGTTTACATTATGGGCAATAAAAAGAAACATAATTTTCACCATGCCCCTTCTTGGCCGCCTGACAACCAGGACGATGATTAATTGCACGCTAAGGTTTCTTACAAAGGCGCCAGCTGTAAGCTGCCCATCATTTGCAGCACTTGCGAATTTCTTTTCTTCCTTTTTTACAAGTCGATTAATCTCCCGCCAAAACATGAGAAGCGCGCAGTACAACAGCTGCTCGACGGGGTTTTGTAAGTAAACCACCGCAGGCGGCGGATGGATACGCAGCAACTACACCGCTAAGGCACGGCTCGTGGAAATCACGCCTACGCCAGTTGTGTAAGATCTCGTAAGGCCAAGTATTGTGGTGGTAATCGATTGTGACACTTAGGGCAAGTCGGTATAAGATCGTATACCGGTAGCTGGACGCAAGACCAACTTCCTACAACCATTTGTGAATTTATCATTAGGTTTACTTGTAACATATTAACATCAATAATTGTTATTGGAGTGCATGAGATTACTCCGAAGAATTCTTGTTCACAGCAAGTGACAAAGTTGCACCAAGCACGCAGCATTAGGCGATTTTGTTTTGGACAAACACTCCAGAACTTCAACACTGTTGGCAACCATTCACAGCAAATAACCAGCACCAGGGGCGTCATTACTAACAAACGTAAACGTCGAACAACGGCACAACCTAACGAGACATACAAATACAGTTCCGTACCAACCCCGTTAAATTTTATCATAAGCCCGCAATGAGAAGGTTGGACATGATTCGTCGACATGCAATGGGGCACACGCAGTGCGTTTCATGGAGGGAAACAGGCGTTGCCGAAGCAGCTGCTGGCAATGGAACCACATCGCAGGGGAGAAAAAGACTCGCCACACCGGGGCCCGATGGTGCGTTCGGCAGCGGGGGCCGCAGCTGATCGCCAAACCCACGCGGCTTTCACTCGGCGTTAATTGGACAAATAAAATCACCATCACGCAAATCGCAGCGCCAATGTTTCCCCCGTGTATTCACAAAAACCAATTAGGGGCCGGCGCAGAGATGCATTCATTTTAAACAGTATACATGAGGTAATTTGATTGTCTGGCATTTGAGGCCCTTGTCGTACACAATGGTAAATAGGCATTGGAAAACAAAAAACAGCATAGGCTCTTACACATTACCTGTCTTCAGAAGTTCATTAATTAACAGGCAATAAAAGTCTTTAGAATTATAAACGATTAATTACAAACCGGTTGATGAAGCTGAATAACTCATCAATATCAATATAACTAAATTAGAAACAATCCCAAAATGTTGACGAAATTATCCTTTTCAAAATTTATACACTGATCTGATAACGTAGAGATACATAAAATTATTCTCTGCGTAACTGCCCAATAGAAAGGAAAGCACATTTAAAACAATGAGCATGTCATTGAATCCAATCAGATTAAAAACAAATCATAAACCGATTATTTCAACTTAACTGATCGACTTTCGGTATCCCTCAATCTTTTACGTTGTTCAAGACGGGGATATACTCAATTTGAGGCATAATCATTTTTTTCTCAATAAAGCATCGTGGTTTACGATGCATCATGGTATACGATGCATCATCGTCATAGTTGATTGTTCTCATACATTTACAATAACCACACACTACTTCTTCTTAAATTATTGTGAAAAGTAACACACTGTCGTTTTTTCAACATCCCGAAAGCAGCATGTCATTAGTCGACGAAAGTTCTTATCAAACACTCTTTAAATTAAATACCTGAAAGATTTGTTCACATACTTCACAGAAAGGGTTTTGATATTTTCATTTTGGATTATTTACTTGCAGTAACTAACGTGCAAGCAGGGAAAAAAATTGAATATAAACATGATAACTGTACAAACACTGAAAAATGGAAGATCTCTGTGAGTTGTTTCGACCAAACAAATGTGGAAATTCAAGTTTACTTTTGCTCTTATCTCCTTGAGAAGTTTGTATGTTATAGCAACAAGAAGTGTGCAAGCCACCACAGCGTTTCTCTACACAGTGTATCTGTTTTTCTGTCAACCAGACTACACTGTGTAAATCAATGCGCCTGGAGGAGTCGGTGCTTCTAAAGAAGGTTCAGGGTGCCAAATGTCATGAAATCCCAGTCAACCAATAGCGTTAGCTGTCTTATGTATTTCAAGGAACTTAGGTTCTATGTGGCAACAAAATTGGGCCTAGAGCGCCACCAAGCGGTGGAGTGCATGAGTGTGCAGCGACTATAAGATATCTGGCCGGCCATAGATCGTTTCGTTGAGAAGTATAGGCTTTGTGTAATTTGATGGTTGGTGAAAGTTGGGGCCTTCCCAGAAGACAGGAGATCGCAAGATGATCCCTAACGAGCCACACAAACACATGATGGCAAAAATCCAAAGAAAGACTCGGTCAACTACCATGGCAACGAACTTCCAATCCTCCGCTCCCTGCATAAACAACAAACAAGCAAACATAGGTTGGTTTTACAATTAACGGCCGAAAACAAACAGTAACTGATCATTCATAAGACATTCAGCGATGCAATGATCTTTGATAAATTCAAGAATACCCAGAGACATGTGTGATGCAGGAGACACGAGTGACATATCATTGATACTGTACAGTGATGTATCATCGATACTGTTAAACTTAAATCTGCATGACAAACTTACTTTGTAATGTTCATCCTCCATTTGAAAATACTTCGCAATGGTTTCGACGTGATCGATAAGTTCGGCGCACTCCTTTGATAACGGTCTCGAATCACTGGCGTCCGAATACTGTCGGTCTCGAAACTGGATCTCTTCCAGTAGCGAGGGCGTGATCGTGTTCACCATGTACTTCGCACCGGATCTCATGAATTTCCGGTCGTAAAAGTACTTGCCCCTCAGTGGGGCGTTATAACTGGCCGGAGTGTAGTTCGTGTGCTTCTTCATGGACTTGTACTTCTTACCGGACGGCAGCTCCAAGCCGCCGGGCCGGCTGATGTTGAGCATCTTGGGAAGGTAGTAGAGAAACACCGTCCGGACCCAGGTGGGCATTGTGTGAGTCCGGGCACTCCGGAAGTGGATGTTGATGACGATGACGGTGGCCGTAATGGACATGGTAACCAGCACCATGGTGAAGAGCATGTAGCGGCCGATCAGCGGCAGGGTAGTGGATGTGGGAGGAATGATGGACGGGATGAGGAGGAGGAACACGATCAAGGCCAGCAGAATGGAGATGGACAGAGTGATCTTCTCCTGGGCGTCAGCCGGCAGGTAGAAGACCAAGGTAGTCAGGAATGATATCAGAATACAGGGGATCACCAACGTGACAATGTAAAAGAGGGGCTTCCTGTGCAGCAAGAAGTAGAAGGTGACGTCGGCAAATTTATAATCGCAACACGGGTAATCAATGTGGTGCCGGAGGCCAGGGGACTCCACGATCTGCCATTCCCCATTCTCTGTGTAGTCCTCCTGGTCCACGATGTCCTGCTCCATGACCATGTCTACCTTCCGGCTCTCGTGGGTCCAGGGCCCGAACTTCATGGTGCAGTTCTGCTCGTCGAAGGGGAAGAACTCGATGTTGATTTCGCAGGAGCTTTTGTAGATGGCCGGCGGTAGCCAGCGCACGGTGCCGTCGTAGTGAACGATGGCATTGACCAGAAACCGGACATCGTAGTAACCATCCGCACTGCCGAAGCGAGCAACAGAACCAACCGATTTAAGGACATGTTGACTTGATTGAAAACATTTGCGTAACAACAGGGGGGCCACGTGCTCCCGACGGATGCCCATGCCCCCCCTCCCGGGTGCCCTCCGCCCATTTGAAATCTATGAGTAATCACAGTTTATATAGCTATGCAGCTGTAGCTTATTTTCTTGTGATGCCCCCTTAAAATGCGTGCACTCCCAGGTGCCCCCGGACATTTACATAGTTGCGCCACTGATTGAAAACCCCATAGGTGGGCTGCCTGCTCCTGTATCTTGTCATACCTAGAGAGGAATGACGACGGGAATGTTTTTGACAACCAAAGACTCTCGATTAACTTACTTGTTGTACAAGAGTATATCCGGCAGCCATAGTAGACCTGACGGAATGTGTAGATACCTTATTCCATCGTATTCGTCAGGATCCCAGGTCAGTTGATAATCCTTCCAAGTCTGTAGGAGATAAGTGGAGAAGAGAACAATAAAGCACGAAGCAGGAACCGATCTTTAGCACTCTACAGTATACCTCCCATAATCCTTTGCGGTCCACCATCTTTGCCACGTCGCGTAATATGAAGAAAACCTTTGTATGGAGGGGCATGCAATAACTATCCGAAATTACGCCCCAAACAACGGCCATTTCAGACACAGCCTAACATTAATGATACAGGAACGTAGAGGTTCGTCTGTGTACACTATATCTGCAGACTTTGTGACAGTGACCAGTCTTCGTTAAATGAGCGAAATACAAGCTGACATAGCTTACTTTAGCTAGGGCCTCAGTCTGTGAATTCGAGTTGGGTGCACATTGCTTCTGTCATGATAAATGGCGAGGCTGTGTGCAATTGGTGGCTGCTATTATGTTCCAAAATGAATATTATTTAATTCCCTTTCATATTACAGCGTAGTCACTGGGTAAACGTATCCAACTCACATGTTTGACCCAGACACTAGTGGTCATGATTTGGTTCTTCTCATCCTGCCAATAAAAACGTAACAAGAAAATATAAACATGGCTTTCTTTAATGAGCATCTCCGAAAATAAAGTTTGGGTACCAAACATATTTCTGAGATGTTTATCATAAGGTGTGGCTCATTGCTGCAATAAGGGTACATCCTCAGGATTATTTGATAGCAGTGTGAAAAATAGTCGAGCTACGTGTTAACATGGTTTCCAAAATATTGTATGGTCACCCACTAAAACCATATCATTCCATGATATTGAGCTTTAAATTGCTCATAATTACAGTTACTAAAATACTGGTGTTTCCCGAGCTAACTTAAACAAATCTCACTCGCAAAACACACCAACTTTACAAAAGAAGACTGAAAGAAAGCACCAGTGTCACTGATCAACCAATTCTGACCAAGTGTACGACACAAAAAAGTGTAAATGTCGCGAATTATCAGAGACTATCTACACTGACTGGCCAATATTGTAACTTCACGAGAGACTTACAATGTCGATGAGCTGGGACACGGACAAGCCGAATTTGACCACAACTGTGTCCGACTCGTTCACAACCGGTCGTATCATGGGGTTGTAGTTATTCTCGTGTGTCAGTTTGTAGAAGAGTTTGTCGGCCGCTTCGGAAGCGAAGCACTCTGAAGGGTAGAATTAGCAAAAGAGCGAGGAAATTCAAATCAGGATTATAGCACACAGTCACTCCAGCAAATAAATGAAAAACTTGCCATCCTGATATTAAGAAACTGCTTTGTATAACTCGTTCTCCCTCGACAGGACAATGAAACGTTTTTCTCAGGATGCTGACTTGATCCCTGGTATATTTTATAAATGCTTCGACATAAGGTCTCGTTAATGGTCACTAGCCTCAGTGGTTTTTTTTTTTTTGAGGGAAAATTAGATGATTTGTTATGTGTGGCCTATGTGAGGGAGCGGGGCCACATTTTAGAACTGTTCAAACGCTCTTGGGAGGACGGGAAATGAAATATAACCCCCCAGTTGTCTTCTTCTCTTTATTTTAGCAAAATGGCTTCTGCATTTGCAGAACGCATCTTAACAAAAAATATGTTCACTGCCAGTCTATTTAAAAAAAAGCTATTCAGGTGTGGCTCAAGTTTGTCCGTGCAGCCTCCTTTCAACCCAAGTGGGCAAAGGCTTCGTTTTGAAAGTGCGAAAAGGGCGATCGTTGTTGATTGGGTCATGACTGAAGCTGATTATGGCTCATTTATTTTGACTGATTGGAGGGAAGCTCCAAAGTACCCTCCCCTCGGTTTATCAGATTGTGAAGGATGACGATCACGCCTGTGTCCTTCATGCTTCAAGCTCTAAGGAATGGGTTACTCTGCCTAATGTGACGGGAGGTCCATCATCGGCTATACCCCATTCTCCACTTGTCATTGCGTCCTTGGGAGTGGGTATCCAAACTTTACAAATTTTCCAAGGACTAGTAGACTCACAGGAATGCCTGCGATGGATCTGTGAGGATTTATTCCACGCGCGAAATTCGGTTTTTCTCCGTGAAGAAATTTTCAATGTCAAACACTGGCCGAGCAAACCGTCCACCATACATGTACTTAAGTTTATAGCGGCAGTGGGTCTCGGGAAATTCAATCAATTTAGCTTACTCATCATCAACGACAGCCACCTTGCTATAAGGTTTATTATCATTTGTGGCTTCATGACCCAGCCGCAGGCAATCTCATTAAGATAAGAGTCGGTGTTAATCTGTACATGTTGTTAGTGCGTGTGTGTACGGGTGTTTTTAAGAGTGACATTGGTCAAGATCTTTTGTGTAAAAGAAAAAAGAGGCTTTTAACAAGAACCCTGTGAGCTCAGATGTTGTGAAATATAGCTGTGGTGCGGGTTGAAATCTGTTTACAAGTGGCTTTAAAATTGATGTCTTTATCATATGGCTATCATTTATCAATAGTATTTCGTACAGTTTCAGTGATCGTACATTGATTTTAGCCACAGAAATCCAACTTGGTCTCTTTACTCATTTTCGTAAGATTGTTCCTTTCTGCCTCGTGAGTATTGGGTATTGCCTCTTATTGCTTGCATACATCTTTCAAACGGAACAATACCAAAACTCACTCTTGTTCAACTTTAAGAAATGCATATTTGCATCTCAAAAAGTAGCCAATCATTGATAAACTTTTAGGCTACACTGGTGAACAAGACGCGGAAAATATTCACTCCGAAAAAAAGGTATCTGTACTTGTATCACGGAATTCCGCGCGAATTGTCAGATAAAACGACACTGCCGAACTTTTGCAGTGTAGAGGCCGGTTCATACTTGGCGAACACGAACGTGAACGTAAAAGTTGAGCACATTTAAGTCGAGCACCATTTTGGTGCAAATCTTTGGTGACATCAAACTCGTCTGGCTTTACTCGTCTGTAGTGTGAACAAGCCTTGAGGCCAATGCCATAGGACAAAGCATCCTATGGTGTTGCCCGGTCGGGGAAAAAGAATTGTGGCAAAGGCGTAACTCGCAGGCGGCAGCGGGAGTCGTATTTTCCCAATTGAGTAATTCTAGTTTGCGATACATCCCCATTAAAATGCCCGGCTTTCCATTTAGGAATACTAAATGTCGCCATCAAGAAGGAGGGGGGGGGGTTGTGCGTCCATCGAACAGCTCCACTATTAAAAGGGAAAGCTTACAATAAGTTTAGGGAATCGCTGTGTGGCGTTGGTCAAAATGTGTGCGCGTTGCCTCTGTCCGCGTCACCCTCAAGGTCAGAGTCGGTGCGTGGTTTTTCGGCGTTCGAGGGTTTACCTAACATCGCGAAGGAAATCATATATCGATTCCACTGAATGCATAAATTCCGGTTATTAACATTAGATGTGGGTTGGATTTCGACATAAGTGAACCGAATATCCAGAGGGTTGAAATAGGATATATACTGAAGTTTATCCTCGAGGTCAGATACTGGCAATGAGCGGATGGAAGGCTTATTAAACGCCCATCCTTTCAATTCCTTCCGTCTTCGCAGATCCAGCCCAAAAACTCATGTCTTGTGGCAACGTGGAGTTTACAGTAATTCTTATTAGAAATCCTGAAATTTGCTTACATTTCATTTAATGTATGGATCATAGTTCTGTTCAATGTCATGAAAACATTGGGGGGGCATCAGAAAGCAAAATCTTGTTCACATCAATCTATGCGATGAAACCCTTCTGAACGCAGATTATTGACAAGAGGAAAAACAGTCTGGTGCACAGCAAAACACTCTTCGAGAGGTACAGTAACTGGCAAAGTGTTTTACCGTCCCAAGGATTTTCAGAAACACACTTGCCACTGTTTGGAAGTCTAAAGTTACTGATCACACGATAAGATTTCAGCAATAACTTCTATCCTGCGCACGACTCCCAAAACTGAATACTTCAGAGCGACTTTCAGCAGATCCACTCCGTGAATTTCAATGTTACCTCGTGGTGAAACATTGATCCGGAGTCATTTCCAATGCATGCTATTCGGTTGCATATTATTAAATGTGGAAAAGAAAATAGAGGGTCGGCTGCTAAAAGTCGCGCTCTTCTTGATGTTCGCGCGCTTTTCCCACTCGGTTGGCATGGCGACATAGTGAACGGCATTGATTCTTGCTCGGAGGAGGCAGCCACTTCGTCATCCTCGTGTGACCGGAGGATGATGCAGGAATTCCGGTTGTTTTGATGCGATTTCGTTCTCGGAAGAAAGAACGAAAAACAGCATCAGGAGTAGAATTGTAACAAGAGAAAACAACGAGACACAGCCATGTGTTACATAGGCAGAAAAACATCGTAAGAAATATCAGGAAGGGGGAGCCATTGCAAATTTTCCTAGAGATTTACTGTTTTCCTGGGCATACATCATCGGATACGTCAGGAACATACCTCGTGTAGAGGTGTGTTCCTGTCGTAATGTTAGTCTGAATTTTATCATGAAAAATTGATACATTTTTTTTAATTTAAATGCATTTGCTGTTTCTGTAGAATAATGCCCCTTTCAAGGCCAAAACACATAGTAATTAATCTTTCAGAGATTTTGTGAAATTGACTCCAGCTTCAGTGGTCTCAATAAAGAACTGATTGGTCTATGTTAATAATGTCATCTGTAGATAAACATATAGCCATTTTTCCTGCACAACGTATTCATCGATCAACAAAAGTTGAGGAGAAGCAAAGTAATTACAAGTCTTGTTGGTATACTCTTGGGGAACCCGCCTGCCACACAATTAATGTTATAATGTGTAAGCCTTATAGTTCAACCCTTTAACAGGGTTACGGGATTTGTTTTGGAATAAAACACAACAGCATGAAGGAACATGTTCCAAACTTTGGTTTGGGTTGCGGGAGTCCAATTCAGGTTTGAAATCAACCGGGATTGCACAATAAAGACCACAGAAACTTGAATTGAAATGTGGACAAGTATCCACTGCCTTTGGGCTATTAGGTTTCGGGAAATGCCTTTAAGATGTTAGCGGGATGTCGTTACGACAATCCATCTCCTACAGTAAGGGCCAACTCAACCTAACCTTGACAGCGCACGGAGCTAAGAGGAGGTTGGTGAGTGGTTGTGTATAATGGTGAAGGCTGCGATACGGCCCCGTAAATTAGTTTAGCCATGGCCAGGAGGCCAGCATCGATTCGTTCGCAATCCTCGATACTTCGAGAAAGTGCAACATCTCACACCACATTTGCCCTGGCGGGGACTGCATCACACCGGTCGCCGGACCCACCAGCACCGTCACACGGTCACCCGACACCTGGTAAGCTCTGCACAGAAAAGCGGGCAGTCTGCAATCATTATCTTTGATATTTTGTTTGGATGTTGCTAAGGGCGACCCTCATGATTTAATGGGATGCCAAAATGCAATCTTACAATCTTTTGTGAACAGTCATTGCCTGCCAGTGCATACATAACCTTTTTTAAAATCTCAAACGATGACCAAATTTAGGAGGTGTTTAGTAGGATTTGCATCAGTTCCAGGTAAACTCGGGTTTTATTGAAGAAAGAGGATCTTTCATGGCAAAATAATATTAATAGTAATATCAGGCATGCTATGCTTCGTCGTTATTCAAAGAAATGACTTCGTCATTATTCAAAGAAAAGCCGCTCGTTTCATCTTTAATGGCGACTAAAACACGTCATCATTTTTCCAAAAGGATTTGCTCAGGTTCTTTTTCTAAGTAAACGTGAATTCAAAATATAAGGATATTCCACAAAACACTCTTTGTTGTGGATCCGGACGATCTTATGCTTCACTCTCGAAAAAAAAGTACGCCCATATCTACTTATGTTCACAAAAACTGCACGAATTTCTGCATTCGTTAGATATTGGTAACCGTTAATTAATTATCTCCCTTGCCATTGGGTCCAACATGTTTATACCAACATTTGGCACAATCAGCTTGATGAGACAAAAGCCCCCCTCCCCCAACTTCCCCTCTATGATTAAACTCTCGGCTTAACGCCACAATGTTCAAGTAAACATAAGTCGGTGGGTAGCACACAGGAAAAACAATCACGGCCCAAGTGCCTCGCGTTTAGATTACAGACGAGGAGAGCGTTCTCCATATATCCCCGCAAGCTTGATGGATACCCCCTAGCTCACACAGCGAAAGAGGGGTGCGCTACCCTCATCATCGAGAGAGTAGG